AGCATACTTGCTTACATTGGATGAGTAACTCCATTTTACCAAAGCTCATCTGCTACTATTTTGGCATTTAAGATGCTTCCTGGTACATCTGAGATGGGTCTTTTTATTCAAGTCATGAACATTAGTTTATCCCAAGAAATATTTGTTCATAGAACATGACAAAACTCAAAAAACCCAGAAGTCCGTCAGATCATAAATGGTTATTGATTTACATTTGTTCACCATCTTCACAACAGCCCCTGTTGCTGAGATAAACAGAAGACATGGAAGGGAGCCCATCACTGTCACTGTTCCATTTCAAAGACCCCCAACTCTAAGAAACCCGAATCTTTTTAAAAGTGAGCCAATTTTTGTTCTCATTGAGCTGAACTTAGCCTCAGTGGGTCTCTGGATGCCGTATTCCCTGGTGCTTGAGGGGCTGTATAGTCAGCCCCTCCAGAAATCAGTTGTTAAGATAGTCAGTCTAAAATCCAGAGCTATAGATAAAAACAGCTTTAGCTACCTCCATAGCATGGTCCTTCTAAATATTCTGTTGTTAATGGATCACTTGGCTTTTCTTAACCCCTGACTTCTTGGGCTGCTAAGAAACTACCGGTGACACATGTTGGACATGTGCATTGCTAAAGTGGACATGTGCATTGCTTTGTGGTCTTTGGCTTGCCAGGTGATGTGACTTAGGTTTAAAACTTGGTTTAGAGTTTCTGCCATTGTTCTGAACTAATGTGGCTGGACTCCATTGCGTCACTGGATGTTTTAAATGAGGTTCATCTCTGTCCATCCCAGTCCTCAGCCTAAGCCTCTGTCCTGGTCCACTGAGGACTCCCTCTCCACCCCCTCCAGTCCCTTTTACCATCTGTCTAGGAGGAACCTCTACTTGGCCAGCCCTGCCTGCCATGCAGGAGCAGAAGTCAAAGTCCTTCAGCCTCTGCTCTCCACACTGTCACCTTGGATTTAGTGAACATTAGGTTGGAGACCTGAGTTACATTCTGGGCAAATAGCTTTACTTGCTGTGGGGCATTAGCCTTGTGGCTTAAGGACGTTGATGTTGAGAGGTAATCTGAAAAGATGCAGATCATTGGAGCACTCTCTGGGTTAATAGAGGAGATACTGTACACTAGTCACTGGGATAGTAGTATTGTTTGAGGATTAGGTGAGATTAGAGGGACCACAGAACACTTTCCATCTGTTACCTACAGATCAGATCTCACCAGAATCTTGCCATTTAATCATGTTTAGGATGGGCCTTTCACGTATATTATCTGTTTAAATAAATCTTCAGGATAACCTCATGAATCAGGTACTAGCTGCAGCCTCTCAGACACTCTGACTTTATAGTTGCAAAGTGCAGAATTGGTACTTTGCCCGAGACTATTTAGTTATTTCATGTCTGAACTGAGCTCACGCAGGATTATCAAAGTATGAATCTCGCATGGTAGATTTGTAGGTGTCATGGACGTTGGCAAAGATAATTTTGGGTGAGGAGCTTTTGGGTATTCTTCATCCATGCACTGTGAACAGCCATCACTCTGCCTGCAAGGAGCACGTGCTTCTGTCCTTCTTAAACATCCTCAGCTACATTTGTAATCATTACAAATGCAAGAAACTCAGCTTCTTTTTTTCCTAGCAAAAATATCCCCAAATGGATAGCCCTGGAATTTTCAAAAGCCCTGAAAATATTTCTGGGAGAATATATTTCTCCCTTCCACCGTTCATCCTGACCCTTCTGGGCATCCTATGCTCCCCCAGGCAGGGGCTGTGCTGGTCAGAGAAGCCCTTTGAATTCAGATGCTGAGTTAGAGAGGCAGCTCTCCCCATCCATCAATTCTAACTGCATTCAAACATTTTCAATATGTGGGCTCCTTGATATCTTTCACTGTATGGAAAACAAAATGGAGGGAAATGATTATTGGCACAAAAGGGGGAAGCCGTAAATCTTCAAATCAGATATAGGACAGATTGGAACAATATGGGTTCTCCAAGGTTGCCATGATAATGTACCTAATAACTCTCTCTGGGCAAAAAGGCAATCTGCTTTCAATCAATCTCTTTTTTTTTTTCTTCTTCTTCTTCTTCTTCTTTTTTTTTTTTCCTGAGCAAAAATACCAATTACGTTGAAGGAGGCTTTTTTTCTTCCTTTTTGATAAAGACGGCTCTCCACCTCAGAAATCATGCTGTAGCTTAAAGATATATATTTTCAATTGTCTAGAATGGTATTGGACAGCTAGCACCAAATGAGAAAAGTCAATTCTTTTTTCTCCCCTCTCCTGCCAGCATTTGTCTACTTCTTAAGAGAAGTGAAAGCTAATTAAAGGCTTAAGGGATAATATTGATTGCATTGGAATATATTTTATATGTGCCTAAGCACATTTTCAACGAAAAGAACCCTGACTCTTTCTACGGCTGAATAAATCAGCTGGCTGAGCCTTTGATTCAAGGGTGAGAGAGGTGAACTCATCTCCTTCCCTTCCACTTCTCACACATCTGTCCTAGAGATGAATGGGGAAAAAGGGATGCTGGCATCTGTTCATTCAGTCTTTGCATCTATGATAGGAAGGAAGAATGTGCAGGCATTTCCCAGGACCTCTGGTGGGTTTTTGTCCAATTCTGAATAATGACCAGGTTTATGCTGGTATAGAACTTTGAGCTGTGCAGGGCCTGGTGCAGGAGATTGCTGGCTACTAGTCACTTCTCAGCTTTCTTATCTCTTAAGTGGGGATCACACACAATCCTGGTGGCAGAGCATAGTATCAAATCAAATTTTCACCCCCACGAGAGCCCCAACCCCATATCTGACCTATGGGGGTAAACACATACATTGGATTTGTGCTGCTTTTATTTTCAGCCATGGAAATCTATGGGAAGAAAGCATTAGAATTACCCCCAAACAGCCTCACTACCATTTGTGAAGAGATCAGATCAGGAGGGAGATCTTGTTTTTTCGTTACTTTGAGCACACTTGACAAATTTCCTATCAGAAATCTGACTCAGAATGTACAAATTCACCTGCAGTCTGCTCTGTCTATATAAAGGAACACAGGCCACAAGAAACATGTTCAGGTATGACCTGGTGAATACCTGGTAGATAACCCAAGTGTTCCATTTTTATTGTGTATTCTGACACAGTTTGTGTTTCTGGAGTGGGTTAATCACATGGGTTTTGGACATGAACTTTGGATGAGGGTTTCCCACAACCTAGCGGATACCCACCAGAGAGTAGAGCAGTCCTGTTAGACGTCTCTGCTGAGGTAGCCTGTGGATGTCCTCCCCTCCCCTGTGGCCTCCGCTTGCCCAGTGGCTAAGTGCAGCACTGTAACAATAACGTCTATAATGGTCATATTATTAACTGCATCGTGCATATTATTGATTTACTCTTTGTTCTGCATCATTATCCTTTCACCCATGAGTTTACTGCATTATTCTCACATACTTAGTCAAGCACCAAATTACATCCAAAGGGCAGGCTCTTGTAATGACATCTAATGGGATATTACATAAGCCATCATCTCTGTCTCCTATTAAGAGCCGCCTCCAGCCAATGAGCTTGCTGCCTCCTTGGAATGCACATAGGGTAATTATTAAGTGCCAAGGACCTGGCCATTCTCAATTTTTCCCATGAAATTGCCATGTTTCACATTTGCCACCTGCCCATGTCTCAGAGCCCAGCCAGGGACTCAGCCTCTGGTGCTCTGAGCTTGAGGACATGGGGATCTGAGCTGAGCCCCTTAGCCCAGTCTCTTTACTAAAAGCAACTGGGTTGTAACCTCCACAGTCAATCGTGTGGCTTTGAGTCGGGCATAGGGTTGTAAAGAAGTGGACACTGAGGGTCCTCCCAGGTGGCACACGGGTTAGGCCGCAGCACTGCAAGTGAGCTGTAGCTTCAGTGCGAGTTAAATCCCCAGCCCCGGAGGTGACCCACATGGCACAGCAGACTTCTCCTGTCTTACTTGCTGCTCCCCTCAGCAGTGTATTTCAGTCAGTCTGCCTGTTCTGCTCCCCACTTTGTCTCTGGTGAATCCTCTCACCACCCCTGCACTTTGGCTTGTACCCCAGTTCTGTATGCATAAATAAATGAATAAATCTTTAAAAAAAAAAAAGAAAGAAAGTGGCCGCTGATAGCCAGCTGTCAGATTAGATGACTCAGGAGTCCACAATGTTGGCAGGACTGTTGTAGGGGTTCTGGAACAGGGACTCATGTCAGGGTGCCACCATCTCCAGGAATGGAAATCCAGAGCGCTCTGACCAAGCAGATGGCTCCAGCCTCCTCCCTTCCCAGCTTCTCTCCATCTTAAACTCCTGGGACTTCACTGGAAAAGCTCAGCACCCTAAGGTAGCAGTGCCAGGGAGGTGTGACCTCCGTTCCATAGGCATCCTACCCCATTGAGGCTGAGTAATGCTCACTTACTGTAAAGTGTTACATGCCCCCATTGTTGGAGGAGTGATGGTGGAAAAATGCAAAATTTCCTTTTTACTGCTTATGGCCAGCAGAGCCCATAACGTGTCAAGCCGCACATTAGCCACCCTGATAAAAGTCCGCTTTCTTACACACAAAATCATCGTTTCAGCAAGATTTGTTATCTCATTACCTGATAAGCTCTATGTCATAAACCAAGACTCATTCGGTAAATCTCCCGGGAAGACGCTTTGTGGGCAGAAAGGGAGAGATATGAATCTGCAAGGGACTTGATAATGCAGCATTTAAACGCAAGCATAATGTCACTTATTGTTAAATGCATAAAACCACTTGGCCAAACGGTTGGGCTTTTAATAGGATTTTGTGCAGCATCAGGTGAGAAGCCATATGCCTTTTCTGTTGAGGAGTCTCTGAGCACCTGCCGGCACCGCTGCTTTGCCTCACAGCCCTCTGGGGTTGGGGCTGCGCTTACTGGGGGTCCTGGGGGAGATGGATGCTTCCTTGCAGCTGCAAGCTTCCTCTGTCTTGCCTGGGTGGGGTGCTGGGCTGAGACCGCGCCGACCTCTTCTAACTGGCCTCTCCTGTTCAGGCACATTGTAGTCTGTGGACACATCACGCTGGAGAGTGTTTCCAACTTCCTGAAGGACTTTCTGCACAAGGATCGGGATGATGTCAATGTGGAGATCGTCTTTCTTCACAAGTAAGAGGCCCCTCTGCCCAACCAGGCACCCTTGAGAGAATTCCTGGATGTTTGTAGAAAGTGGGGGCTTGGGGCAGTGTTAGAGGGCGGCAGGGTTGAATCAGTTGTGTTCTCTGCTGACCTCAATGCAGAGGACAATATGGAACCAGTGGAAAAGGAAGCAACATACATAGATCAGCGGCGAGAACAGAGTCTGCCTCTGTGGAGACAATTCTAGCAAATAATTGCAGCATTTGTGATGAATCAGACACATCATTACTGTGCTCTCAGCTCGTTGGATTCATGGATGGACCTGGGTGTGTTTGCAGTTGGAATGGATAGCTGCACTGGTGTGGATGCTTAATGAGAGCCGGAGTGCCATAGTCATCCAGCAAGACGCAAACCTAACAGGAGGCAGTGGATCAGCTATCACTGCCTCCCTGGAAACCTCCGGTGTGCGACTCTGAGCCTGTGCACAGTCTCTTGCTTAATCACACAGGGAGCTAAAGTACATGCGCTGGACTCAGAGAGCTCACTTCGTATTTGGGCTCAATACAGTGACTAAACAAGTTGATTAGCCCTGGGTCTCAGTCTCTGCATCCATAAAATGGGTAGATCATAACGACTTCTCTCTACATCTTTGGGTAGTATGTAAGAATGCAAAGACATAATCCATGTACAGAGTCAGATTTGCAGTCAGTGCTCAATAACTGTTAGCTGTCACCATCACAGGAAAAATAGATTAGCCTGCACAATCAACTATGGAGGTAAATCTTTAGTTTGTTTCATAGGTGAGAAGAGCTAAGCTATCTCTCCTCCGCCCCAGGAGTTAAGCTTTGCCTGATTCCATTTATGGAGAAATATAGTTTGACACAGGGATCGAGAGTTGGGGTTCAGGAAGAACAACATGGGTGGCAGAGGCATCTTGGGGTCAGCTGTGGCCCCGCTTTACCCCAGCTCAGATGTTGGCCTTGGCTGGATATGGGGTTGACTTCCTAGGGGTTCATCCTGGTCTGGGTTTGCTGAGGTTAACTTCTCAATAAATTCTGGTGCTGGGCCTTTTCTTCTTTCTAGCATTTGTTAAAGGAATACCAAATGTGGGCCTCCCTGGTGGTGCAGGGGTTAAGACTCAGCACTTATTACCAGTCAGTCTGGCATGAATTTGAGCCCAGGTCAGAGATATGACTAACAGGGCACAGCAGACCTCTCCTGTCTTGCCCACTGCTCCCCTCAGCAGTGTATTTCAGTAGCTCTACCTGTTCCGCTCCCCCCTCTGTCTCTGGTGAATCCTCTCACACACACCCCCCCACCACACCTCTGGCCTCAGTTCTTGTATGCATAAATAAACAAAATCTAAAAATATATATATATATATATATATATATATTGTTCACCATATTTGAGCACCAGCACTGATTTCCCCAAAGTTCTGAAGAGTGCCCCCTAGCCATGGGCAGGAGTGGTACACACAGATCAAAGTCAGTGCCTCGCCGCTGATTGCCTGCTGTGGGGTCCATCCTCTCCTAGCCTCCAGGGTGACTCAGGGATGCAGGGTGCAGATTCTACCCTCATGTTGGTCGGGCATTTCCAGATGAGCACATCTATGTGCTACACTTAGGTCAATTTTTGTATTAATGGATGGAGTCAATTTAATTTGAGTGGCAGAACCATATCAGGTGTCTGTATCAGGGAAAGAACACAGCTTTCTGCATGACCGGGGATATTTTCCTGGATCTGGAAATCTCAGATTTGCACAGCCTGTGCCCTTCTCTTGCACTCTGCTATAGTCAGAAACAACAAGCTGCCTGTGAATGCTTCAGTTGCTAGGATTCACCTCTGTGTCCCTAGCATCATGTCAGTGTCGACATCTTTGTAGATGGCCTAGTTAATTAACCTCTTGAAGCATTGGGTTAATAGCAAGCCTTCCTGTAGGGTTGTTTTGAAGTTTAAATAAGTTAATACTTGTCAAGTACTCAGAATGGTGTCTGCCACATAGTAAATGATCAAAAACAGGATGATTATTACTAAGTTCCTAATCAAGGCTAGGCAAGCATTGATTCACACCTGGTCGGAATGTAGGCTCTAACTAACACCATCCCTCAGCACCTACCACCTTGTCGTGAGCAGGTGCTTTTCATCTATGTGGAGTTTGATGATTGAACAAGTCAGTTATTTCAGTCCTTGTCCACCAGCAAGAAAGACATCTGTACATCTCAGCTCCGAGAATGTGAGATAGTGTACACATGTGAACAACAGCAGTACTGAGAGTAAGTGCATTCCGTGTGTGGCTGCTTAGAGGTGAAAGCTTTGAGCCAGACCTTGTGGTCCTGAGGTAGACACACATGGGGTAAGGCAGCCGATGGAAGGAACAAAGGCTCCCAAGGAGGCTTTCACTTGCCCTTGATGTCCCAATCTCGGTTTCTCTGTTCAGAAAATAGCACACAACTAAGTCCAGGGCCTTTGGCTTCATAGGTCTCGAACTGTGTAGAGGTCATGAAGCACTCTAGTTGACCTCAGTGCTGGTTTGGGTGTTCCCTGGGCTGGGTTTTTACTCTGAGTGTGAGAGTTTTACTTATGGCAAGAAAGGAGACTACTCTGAAGGTGATCTGAGAGAAGGGCTCCAGAGAGCTGAAAGGCCTGTATGTGTTTTCATGGTGACCATTGCTTCTCTCCCTGCACAGCATTTCCCCTAACCTGGAACTTGAAGCTCTGTTCAAACGACATTTTACTCAGGTGGAATTTTATCAGGGTTCAGTCCTCAATCCACATGATCTTGCAAGAGTCAAGGTAAGAAGGAAGAGGTGACTTCTGTTTTCACTCCATCTGGGCTGGGGGTGTCTGACGGTGGTGAGGGATTTGCATCTAGGACGGTCAAGAGTCACCTCCAAACCCCTAGTGAGAGAAGTCTGTACCACCAGCCTTGACATCACCCTGCCTCTGGACTCAGGGATTCATTCTGTGGACACATGCCACACCACCTGCGAGCATTCCATACCTCCATACTTGGGACTAGTCATAACATGAAATTAATTTTGTTAGTCCCCTCAATGTCAAGACTGCTGAAGGAAGGGTACAGTTGCGTGGCCTCAGTAGTCTCATCTCCAGTGTAAGATCAAGTAATTCACATCTTAAATAATTAAATTGAACTCAACATAGCTCTAAAATCTAGTATTTACATCATGGGCTATTAAGAATATATATACAGTAACATTTTACCAAAACATAAAACATTTTAAGTTTCCTTTCCACACAGCCCCCTCCTCCCCACCCAACCAAATGCTAAAGGTACAGGTCGCTGATATCACTTGCTGCCAGAACCTGCTAAATTGGAATCTTTTTAGAAAGCACACCTGAGGCTTCTAAGGGGAAGGGATAAAGCAAATTGGCATCTGCCGCTTTACTTATTGGATTAGGCTTTGTGAGCACATTTAATATTCGCGTGCCCGTGGGTATTGAATAATACTGTGATTCCTGTGGCATAAATGCTAATTGTGGGCACCCCCTAATTCAGCAAATAATGTAATTGGCAAATATGGATAAGGTAAGAGGATTTGGGTAAATTCTTTGGATTATTACAGCAGAAGAGACAATTGGTGGCACACTACAGAGAAAACCATGGCTCCCACCACATGCAGGAAAGGCCTACTACAGGGATGACAGCTTGCCGGCCAGAGTTAGCATGAGAATTTCTACTCTTACAGATTCCAGTTAATCTTAATATTATCCAGACATGATCTAAGTTATGGCTAATGGCAAATCTTATGAGAATTTAGAGAAAATAGTTATTGTTCATGGGCCTAATTTAAATGCAAACAGTTATTAGCACAGTTTGGGATCCTCTCTAAGGAATAAATCCTTTCTGGCTTATGTTTAGTTAAGTCAGTAGGGTGTGTTTTGAGGTCCTCTGTAACGTTTCATACACATGGGTTTGTTGTCTTTTGAATATCTGAATGCTAATTAAATACTAAACAGTTCTGAGCTGTTATCTGATTTAAGGCTCTCATTTCCTCTTACTCCACAGCCAGGGAAGATGTGAAAAAAATTAAATGAAGGACTCTGGAGTTTAAATTTCTTAAGCCCAACCGTTCAGTGAGCTTGCTAATGTGAGAGGAGTTTAGACCACCTACCTACACTTCCTGACCAGAAAAATAAGGAAAACCAGTGCAGACGATTGGGAAAGGAGGTGGGGAGGGATTGAAAGGCTTAATTAATTGCTATTTAAAGAAATCTGGAAAGCTTACATGTACGCGGCTATGCAAAATGAAAAGTATACTTAGGGAGATATGTATTGTGCCCTCCAACAGCAACAAGAGGAGCTGTTTACACCATAACAAGAATTTGCAACCTATACTTTTCATAAAAACTGTAATCTCTCAGGATTATTTTTTTCTGTCCTCACAAAGCACCAGACTCCCTAAGAGCTCTCAACAGAGACTGCAACCAAGCTTGGCTATTCATGTGTCTGTGTCCTGTGCTTTTTCTTTTGGTGTCTTAGATAGAGTCAGCAGATGCGTGCCTAATCCTTGCCAATAAGTACTGCGCTGACCCCGATGCTGAGGACGCCTCCAACATCATGAGGTAACCACACGGAGGACGGGGGCCCTGGGCTGGCGCTCTGCAGTCCTGGCTGCTTTGTGGAGCTTTGACTCTGTGGCACCTGCTTTCCTCTCATCAGCTACCCCACAACTTGCCACATCGGTCCTGGGGGAGCTGAGGCTGTAGTGGTCACGGTGGACAGTGACACAGGACACTGTCAACTGAAAGCTCACCCTTAGGAGGTGGGAGCTCTGGGGTGTCCACTCAATCCTGGGTTTGAGCTACTTTAGACAATACTAGAAAAGGAAAGGTGGATTTAGATAGGGTGCAGGCCTGAAATAGGTGTGATGTTCTGTACGAGGGAGTGAACCCAAGATAGCTTAAACGGGAGTGATTTTGTCCCCTGGAAGACATTTCAAAATACCTGGAGATGTCTCATAACTAGAAGATGCTGTTTCATATTCTACAGTGCATATAAGAGATGCCACAACAGTAAATTACCTGGCCCCAAAATGTCAGGAGTGCTGAGGTTGAGACTGCCCGATTAGAACTTTCCAAGTAGCCAGATTAGTGTCTGTCACAAAGAGGAACTTATTCACTCATTTTCTTGTTCCAACCAGTTTCTCAAAATGAAATCATTTTTTTCCAATGGACATCTTTTCAGTACTTTTAATGCTAATATGGATTCCTAAGGTAATATTCTAAGAGAATTTCTTAAACCTACTTTTCTCAAGTCCTCTACTCCCTTTACTTTGTAGAATCTCTCCTGGGCCCTCTTTGGGAAACAGTGCCCTGTGCCTTTCCTTCATATAGATTAGATCCTATGTCAAATGCCATTTTCTGCTCAACTCCTACTTATTTTATTTCATTTCAGAAGAAAATCCTTCCATTTTTGTTCTTTCTGTAGTTCTATATTCAAGACATCTTGTGACTGTTAAAGCCTTTAGGATTTTTTTTTTTAATTGCATAACTGTTAAGAGAGCCAGAGCCAGGAGAGAATAATAATAAAGAGAACTTTGTGGAGAAGACAGGGACCAGAGAAAACATTTCACTCCCACTGTATTCCCAGGAAGTCTTTCTTAATTATGAACAGTCATCCTTTTGGTCTAGACAGAGTTCTCTTTCCTTATGGCCTGGTTTACCAAGGCTTGGGAATGAACCTGAGATGAAGGGCTGGGAATTGGCCTTTGCATCCTTACAAAACTCCCATCTCTTTCCTTTGCTTTTAATTAGCAGCCCCAAGTGATAAACCCTTTCCCATCACTGAGGTAGGGAGAATTCCCCTGTCGGTTTCTGATGAGCAAGCCCTCCCCTCAGCAACATCTGGTCCTGTGTCTGGCAAGTGACATCTGGCACAATGTTCTCTTTCCACTCAATTTTCTTTGGCAATATGCATAGTGTGGTCCTTTATGAAAGTTGATGCGTGAACTCTTGGAAGCCGTGGGCACGCCAGGCTGCAGGGAGATGGCGGAATGGGCACGTGTTCCCACATCTGGGCCAACTCCCTAATTAGTCATGGCTGGAAGTGACTACAAGGGCTGGCCTGAGCTTGGGGTGTTTCCACAGGTCCTCTCCTTCAACAAAATTTCCGTCCTTTATGTTTTTGTGTCATTTGAAGACCAAAAGAATCTTAAGAAACTAGACTTCATTACTTTTAGTGTTTCTGGAGATTCAAATTCAAAGATTTCTAATGAAAGACTAAGAGGAAGTGAAATTTCATGGTTTGACCCCACAAAGAAATTTGGGACTGGTACTGCTTTATACAATCTATTTTTTAGAAGTGACTGATTAAAATGAACATTTCTCTTAACACTAATATTTTATTTAAATCCTGACTGTGATGGGGTCATTATGAAGACTTACAGGTGAGAAGGGCAATTGGCATGATGCCAAGGCACAAAATAACTGAACCAAGGTAGTATCCAAAATGTAATGAAACCACCCACTGACCCAGACTTAGAACTCAGGCTCAGGAAGCCAAGGAAATGGGAGGCTCAGGGTTAAAAATGGGCTTTGTCTATGGCTTGACTGTGAGTAAAAATAAATAAATAAAAATAAAATTTGAAATCTTATAAAACGGGAGACTGGTTCTTCTCCTTATTTGTATAATCTTCCTTCCTCCTAAGTTTAATGAGACCAGTCTGCCCCTTTTGAAATTAAAATGTCAAAGATCCCTTTGAAATGAGCTAGTACAGAAACCCAGCTAATGCTGTGAACTGAATTCCGATGCTGACAGAGGCTGCAAGTCCTTGAGTTATAAGTATGGGCCAACACAACACTTTTTCAAAAATAAAATAAAATCCTTCAAGTGAAAAAGCTCAGGGTGAATTTGTGCAGGGAGAGGCTTATGTGCGATCCATTTCCTAAATTCACAAGTCATAGCTTTTCAGACAAAACTGCTCCCTGGCTGACTTCTCTCCATCTTTGCACAAAAAGGGATGAAGCATAACTGGGTTCCTTGGTGTGAAGCTTGTGAGGGTGATCATAATGCACTTGCATTTCTGATTGGGCTAAGGGGATGGGCCTTTCTGTGGAATTCTATTCTTTAGCCTTCCTGGTCACAGGAAGAAATGTATAATGTCACCTCTGACAGAGTCGGGAATGACAAAAACCATAACTTACACATGGAGAGAGCTTTTAATGCTTTCAAAGCATTTTCACATCTGGTCTTCCATTTGCTGCTCATACCAAGCCTGTGAAATAAATAAAGCAGGTACTGTTGCCCTCGATGTACAGATGAGGAAACAGTCACAGAGAGCTCTGGGATTTCCTGTAGGTCACCCAGTTCATGAGCACTAGAGCTGGGACTGGAATCCAGGTGTTTCTAGACCTCTGTTCCCTGCCCCTCCCCCTTGCACTGTGACTGACTAGGGGAGCAGAAGTTAGGGTTAGGGTGGGGGCAGGCAGTGGTTAATACTGAGTGTGAACTGAAGGCACTTGGTGGGAGGCAGTATTTTCTACCAGAACTTGACCTTGGCAAAGCCTTGACACTTGTCTCCAAGCAGTGTTAAAGTCATCATTCAGTTGCTGTTTTAATTGATGTCTACCTGAGAACCTAATTAGAAATGATCTTTTGGGAGAGTGGATGTGTGTACTAGCATGCACACATTAGAATCATTCATCCTGCCACTTGTTGGATTTCTCAAGTAGTTAACTTGGAAATTGGATTCAGCAGACTTTCTAGTCTCCTATTGCAAACTTCCATTGGCCTCTAGGAAAGCAGAGCTTGCTTAATGCAGATGCTGATATGGGCAATCAGCCTGCAATCCTTAACCCCACCCCCAGCAGGCACAACCAAGCACTATGGGTTCCTCCTACCGTTCTGCCCAGGACACCTTCTGTGTCAGAGTTGTGATTTCTTTTTCACACGACCACAAGGCAGAGTGCTGGAAATACAATTTAGTTTGGCCCCGTGTCTAGGTGGTCCTGATCGCTGGCCCTGCATTTCCTCTTTTTGGAGGGAATCAAGTTAATCTTCCTGTGATACTCCATAGATAAGCTGGAGTATCCTGCCTCAGCTCTGGTTCTTTCTTTTTCAGAGTCATCTCCATAAAGAACTACCATCCTAAGATAAGAATCATCACCCAGATGCTACAGTATCACAACAAGGTAAGACAGTGAATGCTCATCTGAAGCTTACAGATATACCAGGGATCCAGCCTCATGCTCCTGACCCCTCCGTGAACCTATGCCCAAACACACACGCATGGACACAAATCTGCACACCGCTCACATGCACACCCGTGCAATCCACAGTGTGGGGGGGGGGAGGGGTTGTCAACCTCTCTGAGGTATTTCTTCAGTCCAAGCATCTCTTTTGCATTGGTTACCGGAAGGAAGATCCTTAGCGTACTGATTCATTCTTCCAAGGAGCATCTGTTGGACCCCTAGTTTCAGAAATTCTGATGTATTCTTCCATCCCATTCCAACAACTTCCATTTGTGTTGCAAAAACTGCCCTCATTGCATTAGTCAGGATTTATTGAACACCTGCTATGTGTGCAACACTCCATTTGACTCCCTCTCCATGGATATGGAAAGAAGTCCAAGTTTGTGTCCTCAGGGGCTTAGCAGTGAAGTTGTAGAGAATGTATAGTAGGACTTTTCAATAAGAGACCAGGTGAACGTGGAGGAGTAAATACCAGCTGGGAGCAGGCACAGCCTTCTTCAAGTCAGACTGAATGCAGGAAACTGGGTGCGTCTCCAGAAATTAAACATACAGGAATTTTTGTAGTGGTACAGTTTATGAGGATTGGAAAGAAAATCAGTGTTGGAGTCTTTGCTGCTTCCCTTGTGATTACCGCTCAGTAAACCCAAGTCCAGCCTCTCACTCAAAGGCGGTGCTCCTTCCCTTGGCTGGCCGCTAAATTCCCAGGGAAACAGCTTTGAGGGAGGGAAGGTGGCACCTCTCTCTGTTTGATATGGAACTGGTTATCCCTTTAATGGGGCTTAGAAACTGGAGACTGCTCAGTACCTGGAACCAGGTGTCCTGTCTGCACAGAACAACTCCCTGCTGGGTTGTGAGTGAGCGTGCACCCCCACTTACAGGCCATATCCCCGACAAAATAGGCAGTCAGGTGACCCGGAGAAGCCCCTGTTCTGCCAAATGCACTTGTGCCATGTGCCATGCTATTATTTCTTAATTGCTGGCACGTGCTGCCCATTTTGCTGTGAGCAGGCCCATCAGAGGCCATTGTCGAGAGGAGCCTGCTGTCGGTGACTGGCCTACCCCTCGGACCTGCTGCCCGCTGCTGACCGTGGCCCAACCCCTCGGCAGGTGGTCTCACTGCCGTCCGGCCATGTTGTGCTCCAGCCAGTGGGGCTGGCGGTGAGCACCCGAGGTCCTATTTGGTCCTATTTGTCTCTGGAAAAGCCAAGGACACTGAAAAGACAAAGTCGGGGTATTGGTAACCATAAGCAAGTTTGTGACGGTTGCCCCTGTAGGTAGAGGTGAATTTTATGAACAAGGCTGTATGTGACTGGTGACAGCTCCGGAGGCAACAGACTTTCCTTTCATTTATGATTTGAAATTTCATTTAGTGTGGGAGTGCTTTAAGTGGTTGTTTATATTTTTGCCTGAATTTAGATTGAATAGGAAAATTAATGTTGTATGTTTGGAAAGCGATGTCAGTTCCTTTTTTCTCATTCCAATGAGTGCTGATGCAGCGTCTTCAAGAAATTAAAGAGGATTTCAGCTGTGTGATTCTTGTCAACTCAAAGTTGTTCACTGACCTAGAATCCAAATGGTACCTGGTCACTCTTCATGGGCTCTTTGCAAGCCGAGTGCCTTTTAAAAACTTCTTCATTGAAATTATTCAGAAACTACTATGAAAATATTGACCCAACTATGCTTATTAGCTTATAACTAATTTTGAGTAACACCCAAACGGATTTGAGCTTCAGAGTTGGACAAACTCATTTGTGAGAGTCTGACCCAGCAAGGCCAGTAAGGGACAGTGATTTTGACACAGGACAGTTCCTTGTGTTTTTATGTCTCTCTCCTAAAGAAAGAACAGAAAGTCCACTGGTCACTGTCTGTTATCTCATTTCTTGTAGGGCTGCAAATAGGCATTCTTCTCACTGCTTTACAATTTTATTGTTTCAAAACATGCCCCTGCCTACCCTCTAATATGTTTCCCCCCACCCCCTTCCCTTACAATATTGTTTTGCTTTCTCTTCTGGCACTTTCTCTTTACCCATAAGATGCCCAGAGATCTCCACCTATTAAAACTTGCTTTTAGGAAAGAACCTGCTATGTGCAAACTTATGTCATTGGCAGTTCCATAATTGGATAGCAGACTTCCAATAGAAAGGATCTCAGTCTCCTCTGACTTAATGACATTGATATTCTAGGACTCCAGAGGGATGTAGATAAGCTGCCTTCTTTCTCTCTATGTAAAACTAGCCCTGAATTCATCATCATCGTAATCTCAGAAATTTGCATCATATTTTATGGTTTTAAAAGAACATAAACACCCATGGTCTAATTTGGCCTTCATTTGACCATTTGTCCATTTGAGCTTCTCAGTGTGACTTGAGATGGGGGTCTAAGTTCTGTCTAAGAGCAAGGTGGTGGATACAACTCAGGGTCATTTGGCTGCTCACGCTCTGAGAGACAAAGCTGCCTCTTCTCTTTAAAGAGAACCAGAGCCCACTGAACCAGACCATAGTTCCTCAGGTAGTCCTCGTGGAAGGACTGGTACTCTCCATTGTGGATATATTGCCAGAATTTATGACAGAAGCATTTTGAGCCCAGCATCACTGGATACAGAAAAAAGATAGTAGAAAGCAGTTCTGATTTCAGGGTAAATGCTTTGCAGCTCTTCAAGGAAGGAAAGGCTTATGATATCTTAAAAAATTATTACTCCTGATGATCTAGTTATTAGTGGATTAAAAAAAAATCCTTAGCATCAACGATGGCAGGAAATAAATTATAAAAAGGCAAAAGAATGAAATGTGATAAAATTAGGAATTTTTGATATATAAAAAACCCTCCTGGCCCTCCCTGGTGGCGCAGCGGGTTAAAGCACTGCACTGAGAAGCTAAAGCCACTTCCGCATGAGTTCGATTCCCGCCTGCCCCGGAGGTGACCACATGGTGTGGCAGACCTCTCCTGACCCGCCCGCTGCTCCCCTCAGCAGTGTACTTCGTCGATCTGCCTGTTCTGCTCCCCAATCTGTCTCTGGTGAAGCCTCTCACCGCCCCGAGCCTCTGGCCTGTACCCCAGTTCTGTATGCATAAATAAATAAATCTTTAAAAAAAAAAAAACCTCCTTCTCACCTCTCCCAAAAAAACAACAAAAAATATCTTTCAAATTCTAGTAAAAGCAGTAGTCCAGTCCCCAGTGGCCCAATGGAAATGCAAGTTACATGTGGGCGGTACTGTTAAAGTATTTATGCTGAAGTGATCTTCTTTGTTCCGATGATGGCCTCTCTGGAGTTGCATGTGTAGAGAGATGGGACTGGGACCAGAATTCATCTCCCCTGGTTTCCCAGGATAGCATGTTTCATATTCATTCCTCCTTCCTGGGGCGAGGAGTGGACAGCAACGCTAGAAACAGAGGGAAGTCCTGGTCCTCTTACCCTCCAGATAAGAGAGGATTTGCCCCTGCACTCCTGTGCAGTAACACTGACATTTTCCATTGGATTTCCATCAAGAGATAAAGGACAGAGTTGCCAGAAACAAATAATACATGTTTCTCGGTCAGTGTCCTGTTCATTTCATGCCTGAGGACTTCTCTTCCAGCCTTTGGCACATGCCTCCCTGCTCCTTCCCCTCACTTGGAGAAGATACGATGGCCCAGAAAGGAGGTCGTGGAAGCCTGAGAAATGAAATGACTTTCTTATGTAATCGCTTATAAAATATGTCTAAAGAATGCAAACCAGATGGAGACACGAGGCACCAAGGTCTGCGAGCCTGGACTTCAGGCTCTAGGGGGAACTTGGGGCTATGGGAGACTCTCTTGAAACGGTTTTTTTTTTTTTTTCTTTGAAGATGTCATGAAGGTTATGGGGTGTTTTTCTGGGATGTGGCTGACCCAAGCCTTTTCCACTCATGATGGGCTTGCCTGCCACTTGGTTTAATTTCGCTTCATACTCCTCAGATGATTCTTAATGCAGTGGGTAGTTTTCCTCTTAGACTGATGCATTCTCTAGGATGCCAGGGAAGTAAAAGGGAGAAGTGGCCCTCTTCAGCCAGTGAGGAATAGGGGGAGAAGTGAGCTACAGGGCAAGGCTAATTGCTAGAATTGAGTGTGCTGTGTGGGAAGGCCTGTGAGACTCAGCTCAACAGAAATTACCATCTGCTACGGCCCACACAAGACTATTTTAACCATGCTCTCATCAGGGAGGATACCATCATCTCTCTCAGGAGTAAACACTACTGGGTTAGGACTCACAAGATTGTCACAGAACAAAATTTTGCAAGAAAGAATTTCATAAGAGTTCTATTTTGGAAAGCAAAGCATGGAGCCACTTGGGCTTACTCTTTGTTTGCATGGTGGGGCTTCCAGCCCCTCGTGGTACAAATAACATGTGCCATCCTGAAGAGTGAAGGGATGCCTCCTGACGCTCCTTGTGTTTGCTGGTATTTGGAGAAAAATATTAATTATCAGGCGATGGAGGCTTAGCCTTAAGTCTCGGATTTTAACTCCAATGCAAAGTGAGAGGTCTTTCTGCTGCAACTTGGAAAAACACTGATTTCTAGGGACAATGACCTTGCTTTCTTGGAGATAGTTGTCTCTACTTTTTAGAAAAATTACATCCTTAGAAACTTCCTTTATATAGCAATTAAAGAAACTGCTTCCTTGTCATTTATACCAGCAAGCTCTAATTCTGGCCCCTGAAAATATCACAGATTTCTCTGGATCACAGTAGCTCCTGAGATACTCAAGACGCCAGCATCCTGTCAATGAGGGAATGGCTCTTCAGCCCAAATCACTGGTATCTTAACTATTCCTCAAAACATATTTTCCAGAACTCACCTCTCCCTGGCCTGGTCATCTTTCTTTGGAAATTACTCAATTTGTCAGTTTACTTTTTTAAATGTGGCTGTTTCAACCAAAGCTGACATTATGGAACTTGTCTAACCAGTGCACATGAGCGAAGCCATCATTTTCTTGGCCTGTAGACTCTGTAACAAGCAATTCTATAACAAGCAAGCACTGGCCTTCGCTGTGATCTTTGCAGTCAGCTTCCGTTTGGGGTTTGGTTACCCACACACAAGTTTCCCCCTCATTTCTGTAACATGTTAAAGTCTTCTCACTTCAAATTTGTGCAGTGGGTTGGATTTTTTTTTTTAAAGATTTATTTATTTATGGATACAGACCTAGGTACAGGCCAGAGGTGCAGGGACGGTGAGAGGATTCACCACACAGAGTGGGGAGCAGAACAGGCAGATCAATGAAGTACACTGCTGAGGGGAGCAGCGGGTGGGTCAGGAGAGGTCTGCCGTGCCATGTGGTCACCTCCGGGGCAGGCGGGATCGAACTCATGCGGAAGTGGCTTTTGCTTCTTAGTGCGGTGCTTTAACCTGCTGTGCCACCAGGGAGGGCCTGGGTTGGATTTTTTTTTAAACCTAGATATTGTACTTGACCTACTAAATCTCTTCTGGTTATCATTTTTTGTCCATTTTTCCAAATCTGAAGGACTTTTTGAATCTTACCTTTTTCATCTAGTGTATCAACTATGACTCTGTATCATGAGACTTCCAAATAATTGGATGAGCATGGCTCCCAGTCCTTATCTGACCTAGTGAAATAGGATCACTTTGTCTTCAAGATATTGGGACATGTCTGTATTGTGATTGGCCTGATGATTTAGGGCAGTGCTTCTCAAAGTGTGGTCCCTGGATCAGCAGCACAGCATCACCTTGAACTTGTTAGAAATGCGGATTCTCTAGCCTTACTTTGCATCTACTGAATCAGAAACTCTGAGGCAGGGCCCAGCCATCCATGTCTACTCAGGCCTTCCAGGTGATTCTGATGCCTGCTTAAGTTTGGAAGCCACTGGTCTGAAGTACAGGAAGGCAGATACACAAGCAATCTAAGATGCAGCACTACCTGCCAACCTTAGAATCTCTGAGGGGTCAGGCATCAGCATGGGCTGATGTGTCTTCCTCAGAGGAAATTCTCTCTGGCCTCAATTTGACGAAATGAAAAAATCAAGGGGGACCACTTGGGCGGGAAGCTACAGAAGCAATGTTCCAGAGAGACTGAAACTTGCTAAATAAGAGTGGAATAAAACACCACACATCAGACCCAGTCAAGGGAAAGAAAGGACAAGTCTGGATGACCCTGAGCGGTTGGGCAATGCTGCATTTCCCAGAAGTGATTTTAAACAATTGAACATTTAACAAAGTAGGGGTTCATACCTGTTTTTGTTTCCACAGGCCCATCTGCTAAACATCCCAAGCTGGAATTGGAAAGAGGGTGATGATGCAATCTGCCTCGCAGAGCTGAAGCTGGGCTTCATAGCCCAGAGCTGCCTGGCCCAAGGTCTCTCCACCATGCTCGCCAACCTCTTCTCCATGAGGTCATTCATAAAGGTAACGTCTTCTCCTATTAGAGCACATTAGCCCCAGATTCAATTTGTCGTGGGGTTGAGTAGAGAGCACAGCTTAAACTCAAAACAGATCGACGGGCTTTAACCACTTTGGTAAAGGAGAAATTCCTTATTACAGTTTTGGGCACAAGGCCAACTTCTTTCAAAATTATGTTTTTATTTTTATTTGGCACATCCACGGCCATTAAATGATTGTTCAAAGCACAATCCTCTCTTTTTTTAGATAAACCACATGTTTATCTATCAACAAAGCCTCCGCTGTTAAAACAAAAATATGATTTATATACATTCCATATGGCACCAGAGCGCCTAAAGAAAAGAATTATCATTTTGCTTTTTTACATCAAGTGGCTGGTGGACCTCTCACTGTGAGGATAAATGCAGACCATGTGTTTGTGTTGAAGCCCAAACCCCAACAACATAATTCATTTATTTATTTCTGCACAATCAAGGAGGCCAGGAGGGCTGTCATGCCATGGTTATTTGAATGGAGAGTGAAACGATGAGCCACGTCCTTGGCAGCTGTGTTCGTCACACGTGGGGCAGGCGTTCTAGTTGCACTCATGTCCCTGTCGGTCCACTCACGCCACAGAGCAGACTGGGCAGCTTCTCCAAAGGCCCAACAGACTCCCCTACCTGCTGAACCAACTCAGACCAAGAAAGACCCCCTTCTGTCCTCATGGACCAGACGAGGGGTACATTTGGGGTCCTGGCCCCCACTGAGAGTTTTTGAAGCACAGGATGTTGATCACACCATTCCTTGCTTGTAGATTGTGTTTAGACTGGAAGGTGACAAACCATTGCAGTAGACCTGTGTAGGAGGGCTTTGCTGACTTGGCATGGGAAACTGACATTCCCTCCCTGTCACTCATTTAGTTACATTCCCCTTCCTAGAGTAGTAGTGGTTGAGGTAGTAAGTTAGGGAGTCACCAAGAGGTCCTGCAAAGGGGGGGGCGGGGCTCTGAAAACAAGATATGAAATCTCCAGCCTTTTGCTGCCATGACTGCTCGGATCCACCACTAGCTCTAAGAATCCGTGTTGTTGGAGAAATGAGTACAGTGAGAGGGGACAGGGGGAAGGATAGGGATGGAGGTGAGGGACTAACTCTGTGGTGCTGCTTCTCTGGGCATCCACGAGTTGTGTCACTTACAGCAGGATATTTTTTCTAGGTCCTTGCCCGCTGTGCCCACATCATTTACATTGCTTAGCAATGGGTAGTTAGCATTAGCCTACATAAAAGAACAAATTGTTTTGGAGTCCCATCAGTCACTGTAGCAATGGATAACCTGATTTAAAAAATCCTATTCACTATGTGCCCAAAGACCTCAATGTGACAGAACTCCTGGCCTGGATCCAGCTCGCAAATAGGGACATTGCATTCCTTGAAATATCTTCTTTAATCCAGCCTGCCATTCCCTTGCGTGGATGAAACTGAATGCAGACAAAATGGAGGCAACAGGGAGGTCTTTGTGGCTGAACTTAGAGACAAGTCAGAAAACCAGATGTAGCCTTGTATCTCCCAGGCCTTTAAGCACCAACGCAAGGAGCCCAGACTCAGGATAAAGGACTGTCACCAAGAGGGTTCCACTGGCTCATGCAGCTAAGCTCTGGTGGTTTCTTCCAGCAGGGGATTGCCCACAGGACTAAGCACATGAGCTGAGGAGCTGGGCTCTGCTTCCTCGTGTTGATGTAACATGGGCCTTGGCAGGGCCCCACCACAGATGGGGCACTTGACATGCGTATGTTTTGATTTTGTGGTGCCTGCATGGTAACTTGAGCTGCCTGTCAAGACAATTAATAAAATGGATGTGACACTAGTTCTTCAGTGTTATTACCAGCAGGGAGAACTTCTGTCCAAGTTTCCTTAAGACCCGGAAGGGCCTCACCTCTGCAGCCCCTCTGCAGCCAACGATATCCCCTCCAGCCCAGCTAATCCTACTGCCAAGTTCCTATTTAGGAAGAACTGGGCAGGGTTCTGGTGTAACTGAAAACATATTTCCCTCCCAGGATTATGTTACCATGTTTTTTCTTCTTCTTCTTCTTCTTTTTTTTCTAGTACAGCTTCTCTGTGTTTGAAGGTAGTTCTCTGGGTATGGACTTTGACATTGAGGTGGTCTTTGTGTTGGGGTTTGCTGAGACACATGACCTGGAAGTAACAGGATTTCCTTTCATGTTTCTTTTTTTTTCCACTTAAAGTAGGGACAGCCTTCAGCACACGCTCCCCATTATATTGTGTTGTCTTTGTGCACGTTCCACTGGCTTCTTGTCTCTTTTAGGACTTAATAACACCATGATATGCTTTCATAGGTATGTTTTATATATTGTCTCCCATTCCAGGGGTCACAAAGTCTATACTTACTTTGGGGGGCAGATGAAAAGGGGATTTATAAGTAGATTATTATTAACAGAAATTGCTTCCTTCCTCAGTGACTCCCAGGTCCCACACCATGAAGAATTCATCAGCACTTCCATGAGACAGACAGGTCTGTTAGCATAGAGGGAGATGGAGTAGACTCTTGGTAGCATTTGATCCCTTGAGTTCACTTAGTGTTTCTGGAAGCTGAAGGTGGAGTGCGAGCTCACCCTCTCCCATGCTTTGAACAGACCTGGTGTCTGCTGTTTGGGCCTGCATAATTCATAGTCCTCTGCCCTGGCTGTAAAAAGTTAAAAGAGGGCCTTCTCTGGTGGCGCAGCGGGTTAAAGCACTGCACTGAGAAGCTAAAGCCACTTCCGCATGAGTTCGATTCCCACCTGCCCCAGAGGTGACCACATGGTGTGGCAGACCTCTCCTGACCCGCCCGCTGCTCCCCTCAGCAGTGTACTTCGTCGATCTGCCTGTTCTGTTCCCCACTCTGTCTCTGGTGAAGCCTTTCACCGCCCCGAGCCTCTGGCCTGTACCCCAGTTCTGTATGCATAAATAAATAAATCTTTAAAAAAAAAAAAAAAAAAAAAAAAAAAGTTAAAAGAGGAAAGTGACTGTAACAGAGATGACCTATTAGGGGCAGATACAAAATGACTATCCATTGGGATTTGAGTGTGTGTGACACCAAAAAACCCAGATGGATAGTGAGCGTGACAAAACTCAGCAAAAGAGAGACTATTGGCATAGAAGATTTACCAAAAGAGGCCCAGCGGTACCAGGAAAAACGGGGGAGCACCTTTTTATCCCCACAGCAATGTGACTTCCAAAGATCTTCACTCTAGGGCCCTAAGTAATTATCCCTAAAAATTTAGCTTCCATTTTGGATGTGTTATCTTTGGACTGATCTAGACTTTTTTTTTTGGAATCTTTATTTATAGCTCATATCTTTTGGGAGAGTAAATTCTTTAAGATTGCTAACTACTAAAGGAATTTTTTTTTTTTGCCTGTTTGTCCTTAATTTGCTCCACTTAACCTTCAAGGCACACTCTCTGAAGATTCTAATGTGCCTGGAATTGTTTAATAAATCCATACTAACTTTGTAGCCAATATCTTTGTGCAAGAGGTTCAGATTGGCACCTCAGGAAGTCCTCTGGCCTAGCACCTTGGTGATGTCAGGTTAAGCATTTTGTTCTGCCGCATCCAGTTTCCACTCTTGAGTTCCTTTATGAAGTGCAGGCGAATGTTCTGGCTCCTATGATTTATCAGCATCTGTGTTATCAACCAGGCCTGGAACATCCTGTTCATTTACCACTATCTGATCTCTACCACCACCTGTCAGGTTCAAGTGAGAGTCTCCCTAATGTTTTCCATAAAGACCAAGACAATGAATTTATTTAGCCTACCTGCCATCACCTCATCCCTGAACAAGTGACCACACTTACCATTCTCAACTTAGCTCTCTTACTTCCATGTAATTTAAGATCCATTGATTTTCTTTCTTTCTTTTTGAGAGTCTTACCTTGTAATACTTACTACTTTTTCTTCAATATATCTGGTTTCAAGTTAGAGCTTGACCTGCCACTTTTATGAATTGTGCTATTATTTTTACTAGGATTAGCTGTCCTTGGACATGATAAATTGTGTGTGTGGGTGTGTATATTTAGATGGTGATTAACTTTTAAAATTGTTTTCAGTCTATACTGAGTCTTCAAATTTACCATGTTTGAATCATTCTCGGGATTGCCAACTATTTTAACACTACTCATCTATCATTTTATGCACACACATATACTCACACACAACCACACAGCCTGGGACATGGTAATGCACTCCATAATTATTTCTTGGTTATGAAAATGGAGAAAATATGTGATAATACTTCCGGTATTTTTTTCCCCTGTTTTACAAAATTTGGACTTTGTGGGTAAAATGCTACTTCATATTGATCACAGTATAGTTTTTCCATCCCATTTTCTGTTTTTGAATGAGGAATCACTAGCGGAATCAAGTTTATGCTATTCAGATTGTGTCTTGGCTGAGCTGGACTTTACTGAACATGAAAAACATTTCTTCATTATTGTTGTTGCCATATTGAGATAAACTTTCTGTAATGGGTGGTCCCAACACTAATTGTAGCCACGGGACTAGATTTTAGTATCTGTGTCTGGGGTTATGTTTGTGTGTAAATGTGTCATTGTATATATTATGTATAAGAGCATTATGGTTTAGGATCTAGAAGTGTGAATCTGGAATCTTTACTAATAACTAAGATACATTGGATCTTAAATATATACCAAATAAATTTTTTTATATTTATCCTCTCATTTAATTCTCATAGTGACTCCACCAAAATTTGACATGTTATTATCCCTACTTTACAGTGGCAGACACTGGATTAAAAGTGGATTAATCTGCATTGGAATCTAAGGATCCTATCCTATGGGTCCCCGTAGGTGTAAGTTCTATAGACCAGGATATTCATTCAGAGGATGGAGGGACATTAGAAGTAGTATTTCACCCCACATGGATTGGGAGGCATGTAACAGTTTCTCTGTAATGGAGTCAGTTGTTAATTGGTAACACTGGGATCAAAGTGTCTCTCTTCTACCCAGAGGGAAAGC